GGGGGGGGGGAGGGCACTGCCCCAAACCCAGCCCCCTAGGCCTCCGACTGACTCCTCTCCACGCCTGCTGGCACCCCGTGCATTTCTCCAAAGAGGGGCTGGCTGTCCCGATCCATGCAAGGAGGGACGCCTGTGGGGGAGCCGCGCGCTGAGGGACGCCTAGGAGAACTCCGAGGAGAGGTGGATGAAGTCATCCAGGGAGCCGAGGCTCTGAGTGGCACAGGGCACGGCTGAGCCGTCTTCTCTCCTTCCCTTTTCCTGTTGTAAGAAAAGAAAGAAAGAAGAGAAGAGAGTCACCAGGTGCCACAGGGAGCCCCCCCCATTTTCCCCCACCTCCTCTGCAGCCCCCGCCTTCACATAACAGCATCCCTGGGAGCAAGCTCAGCCACCAAACTGAGCAAGCTGCCTGATGGGTCCCTGATGGCTTCTCAGGCTACTGAGAAGTTCACTAAGCCCACAATCATTTCAGATGCAAAAGCTCCTTCTGGGATACGGGGAAAAAAAAACCCCATCAAATCAAATACAGTACAGAATATGAGAAAAATAAACGTCAGAAAGAGTCACGTACGTGAAAACCAAACTAGATACAGAAATGTAACATTTGAGAAACTTAGAATAAGTACACTTAAAAATGATATATACATCTATATACACAAATGAAAATCATAATACCACTGCATTAAGTCTATTTATTTTTTCCCGTTACTGGTTGCGTGGGTGGTTTTGAGTTTTTCACGGTGCTCCCGAGGGAGGATTTTCATCTGAAACGTGGTGGGCTCCCTGTGGGCATCTTTCTCTCCACGGAGTACCTCCCCGCCCCGAGTCTTTCCCCGCATCCTTTGCCCTCCATGTTTCTGCCTGCTGCTCCACACTCCCATGGTGGCCACTCACGGGGAGACAACGCCACCCCTGCCCCAAGGCGGCAAACTTCCTTCCAGATCTCCTCCCTGGGCCAGCGCAAGGCCAGCGAGGCAGGCGCTGGAGGACGAGCGTCCTTCTCTGCAGAAGCCAACCCCAACCCTCCCCCTGGCCACACAGCTCTCCAAAATGAGGTGGGGGCAAAAGACGGAGCACCCCCCCCGAGCCAAAACCTCCATAGACTGTTCCATCCGCTTCTATTCTCTCTATTCTCAATAAATCGCAGGACCTGACGTTGTTACAACAAGCCAAAGCCGATCTGCTCTAAAAACAGGACAACCCAGAGCGCGACAAAGGAAGGGCAACGAGGACGCCATCGCCAGACAAGACGGAGGTGCTCCCAGTCAGTCAAAAGGCAGATCAGGGAAGAGAGATCCAGCCGGTGCTGGATGGGGTTATGCTCCCCCGACAAGCCACGCACACAGCTCGGGGGCGTTCCTGGACTCCACCCCCCCAAGCCTGGCGTGCGTCTGCTTAGCTAAAGCTGGTGCGGCAGCTGTGCCTGTTTCTCAAGTTGAATGATGGGGCTCCAGCGACACCTGCTTCGGTTACACCCCCCACTTGGACTCTACCTGCAGCTGCCTTTGAAGACAGTTTGGAAATTTCAGTGGGTGCCAAATGCTGCACTCAAGACTTTTCTTCAGAGCTGGTTACAGGGAGCGTGCAAGTCCTCTGCTACTACAGCTTCAGTGGCCACCCCTCCGTCTCCAGGCCCCATCCAAAGTGCTGGATGTCACCTACAAAGCCCAATGCAACCTGGATCCAGGCCTTCCATGTAGAAGCCTCTCTCTCTTCCTGGCTCCAAAGATCTCTAGAGGAGACCCTTCTCTGGGTCCCACTGCTATCACAGGCGCGTCTGACAGGGATACGTGAGAAAGCCTTCCTCTGTGGTTGCTCCCGGGTTGTGGAAAGCTCTCCCTGGAGAGATCAGGCTGGCCTCCTCCCTTTTATCCTGCTTAAGCAGGTTTTTAATAATTAAACTGGGCAAGGCTGAATTGTTCCTGGATGCTGGGCATATGTTCCTTTTAAATGTGCTTTTAAATATTCCAAATGCTCCGAGGGCCTTTTTAAATAATCCTTATATGTTTACCAGTTTCCACAATTCATATTTTACAATATATTTAGTCTAACCTGTTTTAGTTCTTGTAAGTTATCTTGGGTCCCCTTGCTAGGGGAAAGGTGGTACAGAAGTGAAATAAACAAATAATAAATAAAAGGTTCAAGGTTTTGACACTCACACACAAAGCCCTCCATGGTTCGGGCCCACATTACCTGCTGGGACGTCTCTCCTTCATGTCATCTGCCCAACCTACAAGATCATCCCGGGCCCATATTACTTGTTGGGACGTCTCTCCTTAATGTCATCTGCCCAACCTACAAGATCATCCCAGCCAAGGCTCCTCCGGAGGGGGGGGGGCACCCCGAGGGAGGCCCATAAATCCTCTCCAAGAGGCAGGGCCTTCTTTGCGGAAGCTCCCACTTTATGGAATCAGCTTCAGGATGAGGTCTGCCTAGCCCCCTCTCTTTTGATATTTAGGAAGCAGTTAAAGCTGCTGCTTTTCAAGGAGGGCTTCCTCACCGGCCCTAGCTGGCCACCTTTCCCCCTCAGCCCTTTCTTCCATCCTCTCTGAGTTGATATGATCAGTTTTTGTGCTCTCTCAAATCAAATCAGTTTATTGTCATTGTAAGTATATACATAGTACACCCATACAACGAAATTTGCACAGACACCCAGAGGCCAGACCCACATGCACACACATAAAAAAATCCCCAAACACTCCCCCCCACCACTAAAAATCCCTCACTAAGAATACAAACATCTTCACCGCAGGCGATCTATTTTTAGGATTCCTCCTGTTGCTTTTAAGTGTTTTAATCTTTATTTTTGTTCTCCATTATAAGTGTCGTAAGCACCCAAAGGAGTACCTCGGCATTAGTGGGATGCGAATGAATGAATAAATATAAAACAAATATAAAAAGAACAAAAGCAAGTTTGCAGTGGCAAGGATCTTACCCCGTGATGAGATTTGTGCCAGCCTCTTTTCTCAGGAGGTGCTGCCCCACGAAGGCCAGGCACTAAACAGATTGCCAGTGCTGGCAGCCATGCAGAGCCCCTCGGGAAGGGCTCTCCCGGAAAGAGCAAGACACAGGAGGAGCGAGGCTGCCTACCTTCTGGTACTGCAGGATCCCCTCCTTTTCCTGCTGCATGCGCCACAGCTCGGTCTCATCCGGTCTGTAGCTCCCAGGAATCACGTAGTTGGCAGGCCGGTCGGCGCTGCACATCTCACAGCCAGGGCGGGTGGGCTTATTGATAAACGTGCAGGTAGGACACGACCAGCCGGCCTGAAAAGGAAGGAAGGCCAGCTGAGGCTGCAGGGCTGGCCCCTTGTTAGAAGAGCCGGGCACCTAGGCCCCTGCCACGTGTCTTAAAAAGCACTGCCACCGCACCACTCTTGGGAAAGTGGAGCCGTGACACAGGGTGAGCTACAGCTCCTTTTCCGAACAGGAGTTTGGGGTGAGAAAGAAGAGAAAAAAGGCCACCAGGAGCACAGAAGGGCAAGAAAGTGCAGGGCCGCTTCGCTGGGGACTGGCTGTGAGGTCGGCAGCTCTATCTAGCATTTAGCAGAGCAACCACTTACCTGTACGGGGGAAGGAGGGGCAGGATGAGGGACAGCATTTGGGGCAGGTGGAGTGCGGGCATGGCCGGACAGAAGATTATTGACCCTGAGAGAGCCCAGAAATTGGCTGATCTCCCCAATGTCCATCTTCCGGTTGCCATCTTTCACACCTGCAGCCAGAAGAAGAACGGCAGGGAGGCATCACTGTCAAGGATAATTTCCACACCGAAGCAGAACAAGGTCTATAATAATTAGCAGCCATATTTGACAGGTGTGCAAAAGGCTGAATCATGCAGAATGTGTATTAAATGAAGTAGTGTCCGGGGCGATGCAATGTCCTCACTGATTGGCTATATGTAAATTGTGCATGTGTACAAATGTGTGGACATGTGGAAAAGATGTAGGATCTCTTCTGATGAATGACATGCTGCCAGTTTGTACTGCTAAAACTTCTGCATATATTGTAAATATACTTGGCGGTGGAAGAAGGTGTCTTTGTATGTGTGGTTCAACTGAACTGCCTGGACTGGGACAAAACTCTGCTAATTTACACCAAGAGTCACCCCCTTTCCAAGACTAGCCATATTAGGGAAAGTCAGAGCAAACGAGGGCATCAACGTGCCTCCTAGCCAGCCACGGGTTCAGCTGGCTCTGCAAGCTGCTGATCTCTCACCTTTCTTTGGCAGAGGGTTGGGCAAAGTGCTATATTTGCGACTGGCGTTAGGACCGTCAACGAGCGACGAGGAGGCCGGCTGGAGGACCACCCAGTCTTTGTCCTCCTTGTAACGCTGCTCCGAGAGCTTGGCACCCTTTGCTGTCAGCAGGTAAAGAAAGGCTACGTCTCCGTCCTTCCGGATCCCATACGAGCCAAGCGTTCGGTCATCCACACAGAGGCACTGCCCAATGATCCAACGCTGGACGCTGGGGTGGAAGTCATAATCCTGAAAGACCTGGCGGAAAAGCGGTTCAAGGAGGAGAAAGGGGATCAGGGCCTGTGAGCTAACTCCCAATCCAGTAGCCCACCATGTGTTTCCCTCCCTGTGCTGTAAGACCTTCTCTGGCCTCCCCACCACATGCCCCACAGGGCAGGCAACCGGTCTACGCATTGCCCAAATAACAACCCTAACCCAAATACCTGCTGCCTGAGGGCGGCGATGGTGGTGAATGTGTGGACACGCGTGGTGAAGCGGGCTGAGTGGAGAGCATCTTCCACTTGCACCTTCATGCTGCCAAAGAAGGGAGCAAGCAATGAAACAGCCAGCAGCCTCCAGGGAGCAAAGGGAGCTGTCCAGACCCCACCCAAAGCCTAAGGCCAAATCAGGGCAGGCACCACCCACGGTGGCCTCATCCCCCACTTTCTTCCCACACCTGATCTCACTCGTGGGGTAGCAGGACTCCTTCAGCAAAATCCGCAGAGGGGTGCGCTGCTGTGCAAGTGCTGTGGCCCATCGCACAGCCTCCTCCTCGTCTCCAAGCTCAATAGCAGCACAAAGACGGCGCGTCAACTCTTCTAGAGGAAGGAGAAGAATTGGACTGACTTGGTTCCATTCCTTTGGGTTTTTGAAAGTAATGCTGCCTTTCAGGACCAAGCCCACTCAGGAGGGCAACCGCCCACCGCCCAATCACGGCTGGCACAGGTGCTTAGCTGACAGCTTTTAAGATGGGGGAGAGGAGGCCGTTGAAGGGCCCTGGACCACTTGGCCACCAACCTTTCCTTGCAAGTTCCACGGGCAGGGAAGCATCAAGTTCCCGCACAGGCCCTGCATTCACCATAGCCGAAGGATAGTGAGGAGACCATCCAGTGAGAACCCCGACACCCTCAGGAGCTGAGAGAGAGAGAGAGAGAGAAGAGAGGAGAAGAATTATGGGGGTTTTTGTTTATAGCACCTGCAACACTGCTTCAGAGCAAAAGACTCCCAGTATGAGTTACGAGGGGGAAAAAAGATCAAAACCCTGAGAAGGCTTCAAACCTAAAGCCATTTCGAACTGTGCGCATCCATCCGGGTTCACTGCAAAGATTTTGGTGAGAAGCTTGAGGCCAACTATGATACCAACTAGACCTCACTAGGGAGGGCACTCCAAGAGCGAGGCACCCCAGTGGAGAAAGATCTTTGCACGGAGCTGTGGGACAAAGGAGGAGAAGCCTCCCTCGCAATGAAGGGGTATCTCTCAGAGAAAGACCTCCAATTAAGAAGGCCAGAAGTCACTTGGTGCCAAGTCTGATCCCGTCTCCCTCCAGCCTGTACTGTCAAGAACGACTCACACAACTCTGGCTTTGTAGGGTTTTAGAAAAGATCTGTTCCCTTTCAGGTGCGCGTGAGCAGAGCTCCACAGGGGCTGCTCACAGGCAGCCAGTTTGTTTACTTCCTGTTTCGGAGGAAGGCCCAGCCCTCCACATGCATAATGGGCAAGGCTCCTGTACAACAAGAACTAAAATGAGAGGGAACGTTGGTTCCCAGCCCTATTGGAGATGCCAAGGATGGAACCTGGGACCTTCAGCATCCCACGTAGGGCTTTGCTGGTGAATCGCTCTGCCCCTCAAAGCTGTCCATTTCCATACAAGAGGAAATTCTAAACAAGAGACAAAACAGGTCGAAGCGGAAGGCATAAGAAGGATTATCTGCCTGCCTGCCTCTCATTAAGATACTGCACCAAATGAAGAGCGGTGCTGCCTGTCAAGGCAGCTGCATCTGGCAGACCTGAAACATCTAAACCTCAGCAGAGCATAAATCGTGATCTGCAATGAGAGACAAGTACACTGCCAAAAGCCAAAGGAAGGAGAGGAGGCCGAGAGCTGCTCCTCATTCTGAATAAGGATGAGCTCCCTTGGATGGTGAGAAGCTCCGCTGGCTCTTGGCAAGCATGTCCCCGCGCTGGCAAGCACACCCATCTCATCTTGCCATGCACCTCAACTCCCTGCCTTCCTGCAGCAGCTCTGAGCCCAAGGTCAGAAGTAATCCCAGGAGGGAAGTGCGTATTCTGCTGCCCAAGTGTGTGGCCTGAATCAGCCCTCCTTCAAGCTGCTGGGACCCTCCCTGGGGGAGGGTATTTACTGTTTCTCTCCTCAGCCCCTATCATTCTGTCTGAACCACAGCATCCCACTTCTGCCACCACGTCACGGTGATGGACTTTGCTAGGCCAAACCCCCCAAATCCTTCCACAGGAATCCACAGATTAAACTTCCAAGGTTTTCTGATGTTTCATTTCCATCTCAGAGATTGTGTAACAAAAGACCACTTCAAACAACTGACTCACAAACACCCTTAAGAAATAAGCCAAAACGAACAGTAAAGCAAACCATGGCACTAATTAAAAAATACGCACTGGATTCATGCATGAGAGGATGAAAGCTCTTGCATCCATCTGCAGAATTAGCCCAGCACGGCTCTTGTAGGTAGCCAGGCCTTTCTCAGTACAAGAGCCTCCAGACCCCGCCCCCAACTCCATATGTCCTGGAAAGGAGCTGACCTTTGTGTACCTCCCGGAGGGAGCTGCTAACGACAGTCCACCACTTCTGCGCCTCCTGCTCGTCCTCAAAGTGAAAGACCAGGGGATCATCAGGACTGGCTAAGACCTTCAGCTCGTGGCATGTGGCACTCTTCAGCTTGTAGGAAATGTCTTGGAGGCTGTACTCGACCAAGTTCTGGGGGGCACAAAAGGAGGACTGATTCCACCTGAAACCAGGCAGCCCCCAACCATTTCACCTTTTGTGAAGTTGTGCCCAACATTTCAAATAGGTGCACTGGAATAGGGGCAACTTTAATCTTCAGCCAGATTTACACTGAATACCAGGAAGAAAACCTCTTGTACGACAGCATGGAACCCGTGACCTCAAGAGGAGGTGGGGGGTCCACTCCAATGTTGGAGGGAGGGAGGCTTCCAAGAGCAACTTATAGGCAAGCACCTGGCAGATGTCCTAAGATCTGGCTTCGTGCCTTGAGCAGGGGGTCAGGTTTGGACTCTGTGGCCTTAAAAGTTCCTTACAAGGCCATAATTCTGTGGCGATCATCATCATCATCATCAACAACTAGGCCCTGAGGGAGCCCACAGGCTGGAGGCAACCTATGGGGCCCTCCCCCGGGGGGAGCCAAGCGGGGGTGGAGAGATCCCAGCCTCCCTTCTCCCTGGGTCGGGGTAACCCTCGGGGAACGCCAACGAAGCGGGACGGCGGCTTCGGGGCTCCTTCCTGCTCCTCCGGGCTGACCGAGGCAAAAGGCCTGCCTTCCGTCCGGCCTCTCACCGCCGGAGGCGAATAAAGGCCGCGGAAAGGAAGGCAGCAGCCCGGCCGCCCCCGGCCTCAGGCCCCTCGCGACTGGGGACGGCTCTCCGGCCCTCAGCCCACTTCCAGCCCGCTCGGGAGGGGAGGGGCGGCGGCGGGAAACAGACAAGCAGGCAGGCAGGCAGGCGCGCACCCACCCACCCACCGGCCTCCCCTCCCGGCT